ACACTGCTTTGGGAAGAGAAGCAAGAAAAAGGACAGAACTGTTGCTCTTTTGTGCTATTCTAGTAACTGACAGTAGAGCAGCTATTTTTACATAAGAACTAAAACCCAAGAGGGCACCTGGGTGGCTCAGTCAGTTGACGGCTCAGAGCCTGGAGCCTGATTCAGATTCTGTGTCTCCCTGGCTCTCTGCCCCTCCCCCACTCACACTCTGTCTCTCTCGGTCTCTCAAAAATAAATACACATTAAAAAAAATTTAAAAAAACAAAAACAAAAGCCTAAAACCTAAAACCTAAGATAGATGACAACAGCGAGAATCAGTTTTAATAGACTTAAATCTTCTAGTCCAAAATTACACCTGGTTGCACTGGACTCATACTCAGCTATGAGTTTACACTTAAACAATAATCTCTAAATCAGGTAAACTCTAGAAAATTGCAGGGGAGTAAAGTTCCTTAAAGTCTTGAGAGGGACTAATCCTGTACTGATTTTATAAGAGGAAAAGAGAATTTCCAAACCACAGATTAAAAAGATCAATGTTGGGGTGCCTGGGTGGTTCAGTCGTTAAGTGTCCAACTCTCGATTTCAGCTCAGGTCATGATCTCACAGTTCAATTCGTGAGATTGAGCCCTGCATCAGGCTCTGCACTGACAGCACAGAGCCTGCTTGGGATTCTCTCTCTCCTGCTCTCTCTGCCTCTTCCCAGCTTGCATGCACATGCTCTCTCTCTCTCTCTCTCAAAATATAAACTAAAAAAAAAAAGAAAGAGGAAAAGATGATCAATGTCATTCTCTGAAATTAAAAACAAAAAACAAATGGGGCGCCTGGGTGGCGCAGTCGGTTAAGCGTCCGACTTCAGCCAGGTCACGATCTCCCGGTCCGTGAGTTCGAGCCCCGCGTCAGGCTCTGGGCTGATGGCTCGGAGCCTGGAGCCTGTTTCCGATTCTGTGTCTCCCTCTCTCTCTGTCCCTCCCCCGTTCATGCCCTGTCTCTCTCTGTCCCAAAAATAAATAAACGTTGAAAAAAAAAAAAAAAAAAAAATTAAAAAAAAAAAAAAAACAAAAAAACAAAAAAACAAAAAACAAAAAACAAAAAACTTCTCAGAATCTATGATCCTTTAAGAAACTAAGTCTTTCCCATAAGAAATGACAAGAGCTTACACTAATCTCTTTCTTTTTTAATAGGGTCACCAGACCAAGAAATTCAAAGAATACCACAGACGGTGTTCTACCTCAAGTTTATTAAAGCATATAATCTAGTTTCTCATGACAACAAAATTAAATGTGGACCTGAAAACAGAATAAGACTAATAATTCATGGATTTTGTTTAAGATTTACCAACAAGATAAGGATGCAGAAGCCATGCATACAGAAGTGAGGAGTATAGCTAAAATGTTTAAAGGCAGAGTTAAGATAAAATCAACTCAACAGGCTGAAATAGTCTTGAAACCAACAGGATGTAAACTGATAGGGACAAATAAAAAGGTAACTTCTTTAAAGTGCCTCAAGTACAAGATGAGAAAGATTGTTTTGACGGGTGCAGTCCTAGGAAAAAGCCCTGGATGGTTAGGTTGACTAGAAGAGTAATACAATACTATGAAATAGCTAGAACAGAGACTAGAGTAACAGTCCTGCCACACTCTCCATCTGGAATCTACACCTCACCTTATGTAGGGCATTTTGAGACTGGAAAGAATCTAGAGGAAGAAGACCAGAAAGTCATGTCACATAAAGAAAGTGGGCATAGGCTGCCCATCCCTTCACCAGGAGGTTCACTGTGTGAATAAGGAAAGGACTTAATGTTGTTCTAAGAGGTACACAGTAACCAACAGAAATTACTAGAAAGCACTTTCTGCTCAACATGAGGAAATATTCAAACACAAGACCGACCATTTCATAAATAGTTCTTGTGCCATCACTAGGAAATGTTCAGGCAGAGCCAAATGACCATTGGAAACTTTGCCAAAAGGCCTGCAGCACTGGGCAGGAGGTTGGTCTAGATAACCTCTAAGGTCCTCCTTCCAACCACGAGAGCTTTGAACTTGGGAATAAGGAGTCTGAAGCTGCTTACACTGAATCACTCAAGAATAGCAAGAACTCTTACTGCAGAATGGTCTAGTACAGCATATCCCAAACTATGTTCTTGAATGCTGGCAGAGGGATTAGGAACACAGGCCTCAGTTAGACTGGCCTTCAAATCCCAGCCTTGCTGCTTACCTAGCTGTGGGACCCTGGGCAAGCTTCTCAATCTCTCAGCCCCTTAGTTTCCTCATCAGTAAAACAAACGATGAATATTCTTCCCTCACAGCATTGTTCAAAGGGTAATAAACTGACTACCTAACAGAATGACCAGCACATAATAAGCATTTATCAAGTGACTGTTTATTTTTATTACTGTTGGTATTAAGAAAAAATAACTTGACACCTGGTGTAGCTCTAGGAGTTAAGATGCTTATTACGATGTCCCCATTCTCCCAAGAGGCTAGGCCACTTAGATGACTACCTGGAATATGGAGAACACCAGATAATGATAACAACACATTTATTGGGCACTTAACTATACGTCAGTCATACCACTCTAAGAACTGTAACATTTTAATAAAGCTTCTCAATAACCCTATAAGAAGTACTGTTATATGCCTTTCCAGAAGACGAAACGGAGGGTTAGAGGCTAAATAACTTGCCCAAGGTCACGCTTCAGAAAGTAACAGGTCAGGCTTCAGAACCCATGATCTTAACCATAACTATAACAGCTCTCAATCCTGACTGTACATATTTAGAATTACCTGGAGAGACACAAAAGAAAGAATGATCTCTGGGACCTTTATAACCCCCCCTCCCATTCTGACTTCAATTGATCTGGGATAGGCAGCAGGGTTCTCCAGAGTTCAGCAACACTATCCTAGGGCATGCCACCTCCTAGAGGAAAAACAAGTTGTAACGAACAACTTGCTCCGGCTGACATCCCAAGCAGATCGACTGCTTTTTAGAAATATCTTTAGAACCATGAGATCAGGACTGCTTTTCCAAAAACAAACAAACAAACAAGACAAACAAAAAACAAAAAACAAAAACCACCCACGGGGCACCTGGGTGGCTTAGTCAGTTAAGTGTCCAACTTCAACTCAGGTCATGATCTCACGTTCATGGTTCGAGCCCCACATCAGGCTCCGTGCTGACAGCTCAGAGCCTGGAGCCTGCTTCAGATTCTGTGTCTCCCTCTCTCTCTGCTCCTCTCCCACTCATGTTCTGTCTCTCTCTCTCTCTCTCTCTCTCTCTCAAAAATAAACATTAAAAAATTAAAAAAAAAAAACAAAAACTACCTACAACTTTTTATTTATTTATTTATTTAAAACTTAACCCTGAAAGTGATCCTTTTCAGGTAGGTGTCATTTTCCTACTTTATAGACAAGGAGACAGACATAAAAAGATTCAGTAACTTGCCCACATTCACAAGGAAATGAATACTGAATTCTAGGAGGGCTTAGGACCCTAAAGAGCTCCAACAGAGTTGGGAGAGAAATTTGAGTGGATGATTAGGGCTGCTTTAGGAAGGAAGTGACATCTGAGCTGGACAAAGCATGGCATAAGAAAGGGTTAATCAGCAGAGTGAAAAGCATGAATAAGAGACAAGATATCACAAGAAATGTTCACAGGACTATAAGTAAACAGGTGGTGAAACTATGGTCTTAAAGGTGGAATTGTGAGAGCAGCCGCAGAGCTCTACTTCAGCCCAGACTATACATGCACATGAATTCCAGGCTGCACAGCTGTCCTTGGCCTTCAAAGGAGTTTTCCTAAAACAGAAATCCACTCAAGCGGATGCCTGGAAACCCAGTCGGCAAGGGAAGCAAGGTCATATTTCCAACTTGAACTCATGATGCAGAAAAAGAGCAAAGCAGTATCCAAAGTTGAGCTCTGCATCCAAGCTACGGTGTCCGTTGGGATGGACTCAGGAGGTTTGAGTTTATGGCATCATATATATTATAAGGCAACAGAGCAGAGTAATTAAGAGCAAGGCTTTAGAGTCAGAGAAACCTGGGTTCATACCCTGACTCCACTTATTACTAGCTGCGTAAGCCTGGGAATTTATTAAATTTCTTTGAGCCTGTTACCTTCTTTGTAAAATAGGGATAAAAATATATTCCTTAGAGGGTTGTTGTGAGAAACAAATAAGAAAGGAGTATGTAATATGCTAATTAACATAGTGCCTGGTAAGAGAGCAAGCTCCCAAAAAACAGTAGCTATTCTTTCATTCATTCAACATGCTTTTATTAACCAAGTAAGCCTAGAGAAACTCTCTGCGAAGTGGTGAACTTTAAAATGCATCCAGAGGGATGTCTATTAAGCCCTTCACAAATACCCAAATTTGCAAATACAAGAGAGGGAAACTTTCTGCATTGAGTGGAATAATACAGGTTGCGAACTAAAAAAGTAGTACTTTTTCCTGTTATTCGTAAATTGCTTTGGAAGACTGGAGCAGATTACTATATATAATTCATGGTGAGTTTTAGGAAGCAAAATATTTACCCTAACAAAACATAAAAATAGAATTACAAGCCTGTATCAACAGATGTATAAATGGCTTTCCCTACCAATCCCAGTATCCCTCTGACTCCCCTAAAAAAAAGTGGCACTGTGATACACTTCCACTACATTTACAGGCAAGGAGAAGTTAACACTTCCAGGATAAAAGCAGAAAATCAGTAAGAGTCTGTAGAAGTGTAGGTTCTAATCTCAGCTCTGCCATTAACTGGGTGACCTTCACTGGGCTTTCCCAAACAAGATCATCTTTTTTTTCCAGCTATAACATCTGAGACATAGCTAACAGCAACTCAACTTTAAACAGGTCACTTCAGACACGGAGCTTTCACAAGTCCCTTCCTTTGGGAGTGTTTGGATGAGGACTGGGCATGCAAGGCAAGGCCAGAAGCACAAGGCCATGACAGGGAAAGGTCATTCTCTGGGGAAATGCAGAAAAATGCCCCCCAAACACCGCGTACCTTTCTTCATCATGTCTCGGTCCAAGGCTACATTTCTTTGGGCAAGATTTACTTCTGATCGAAAATGGAAGCGCTTGGCTCGCTGTTCTTTCTTTTCAATTGCTTCCTACAAGGTACAGAAAAGGCCAAAGAAGTGACACGTGGAGAAGGAAAGTTAAATCACAAATGCAACATAACGATTCAGTGACAACCCTGAAGTAAATCAGAAGAAATAAGCAACATCATGCCTTTAATAATTTTTGCAGAGAACTGGCTATTGACAATGACTGGGAGAGTGTACGCTACCACTGCTATAATTTGCAATCACCTCCATGATTCAGTGCCTATCGCTATGTCTGGGGCATAGTAGGAATTCAGTGAGTATTTGACTCAATGAGTAATGAATGTTTCAGTTCTCTGACATTTTATTTGTTATTTGGAATCACGCAAACAAATTACAACTGAACAATCTCCCTCCAATCTTCCAGGTGCAGAAACTGAGGTATAAAAAAGTCAAAAGGTTTGTTGGAGATACTTTGGCTAGTGGGGGGAATAGATCTGATGTTGGTTCTATTTCTAGAGGCCCCACAACCACCACCCCCATTTCACATCATCTGTGAGCATGGTAATCACACCTATCACATTATGTCTGCCTGAGCAGTGCACTCCCTAAAGCATTTTCCCTGTTTAAAAATAACACCAAAGCAAAGAAACTCTTCTCCTCTATTCTAAGCTTGTGTCCATGGAATTGCCAGTTTTCATCTGTAAGTGACAAGCAGCACTGATACTTCACTGAAAAGCGAAATAATCAGCTTCATAAATTTTTCTCCAAGAGCTAAAATAAATCCAGATCCAGGAACTCTTCACTCATTGTATATTGACTTTGCCACCCTGGCTGAAGGTCTGACTACAAGAAAGCTTGTGGGGATTGGTGAAGCAGCAACACTTTGTTATTTCCCAATAGTTATGCTAATTTTCTTCAAGGGCTGCAAACAACTAACCTATCTTCCCTTAGTAACCTGAAGTACCAATTCTGGGGCTACCATCTTTTCCCCCACACGTTTCACATAATGGCAAACTGTACAGGAGCAAGAATAGCACAGTCTACCGCTTTTTCAATTACAGTAAGAAAACACTTTATTCCATTTTCTTGCCTGTCTAAAAGATGATCAGTTCCTTCTTTTGGCCTTTAAGCAATCTGAAACAGACTGAGACCCAGATAAAATATAAAAAGGTGAGCATGACATATTTATTTTTATTTTTTGTTTTTATACAGCAAATATAGTTAAATAGTACTATTATTTAGAATTACAATTCAAAATTCTATCCTAAACTTAACTGCACACATTAAAATCAGAAAGAATGTCTAAGTTGGACGTCACTAATTAAAGTGACAGATGTGTACTGTTTGTAATAAGGAAAATAATAGGTTTGGCTCTGTGAAGAGTTATAGGAAAGCTGGTAATCTAGTAATAGTAATCACCAGATAAAAGGCAATATTCCCAGGTACTGAGTAATTCGGCTGACTTGGCCTTCAAAATTTAGACAGCCAACATAATCAGGAAATCCTATTTTTCTAAGCCTGCAACCAGTGAAAGAATAAAGATATTTACTAACGGCCTACTATATGCCAGGTACTTTTCATGTTTCTTTCATATAAAGTGGAATCAGTATACACATTTTTAAAGAGTGGACAAAACACAAAAAAAGCATTCCCAGAGCAGAACTTTTTCCAGACATGGTTAAGCATGGGCAACTAGGTACATGGATTTTATCTTGTCATAAATGCCAGAACACAAATGCTACCTGGATGTTTTCAGGAGGCATGAAGGCATCATTGTGTAACACAAAATTTAAGTTAAGGAAATGTTTTAATCCACCAACAAAAGAAAAAAGGAGGTAAAGAATAACTGCTATTCTACAAGTCCTGGGGACCAAGCTCATGGAGTTCACTTGCTTAGCAAAATGAATAAATTATGGTCTGTCTTACCTTGGAGGTGACATCAATTCCAGTGATGAAGCTGCCAGCCTTGTTTTCGTATCTTCTGCTTGTGTCCTAACACGAGGGGGAAGGGTGAGAAATGCTAACAGCAATTGAGGAAAAACTCATGATAAAAGACAGTTCCGTGGGGCGCCTGGGTGGCTCAGTCGGTTGAATGTCTGACTTCGGCTCAGGTCACGATCTCGCGGTTCGTGAGTTCGAGCTCCACGTCAGGCTCTGTGCTGACAGCTCAGAGCCTGGAGCCTGCTTCGGATTCTGTGTCTCCCTCTCTCTCTGCTCCTCCCCAGCTCACACTCTCTCTCAAAAATAAATAAAGATTAAAAAAACTTTTTTTTTAATTAAAAATTTTTTAAAAACACCAGTTCTGCAACAGATTCCTCTGGGATAGTCATTCCTTTCAGCAATCCTTCCTCACCCTGACAACCCTTTATTATGAGGAAGCCTGTCTCAGCGACTCTGGGTAGTAAGCAATCAACCCCTCTAACAAGAAGTCTTTTCTAGATCAGCTCCTGTCCCAAACCTTAACTAAGTCTATCAGCTGAAGGTATTTAGGTAAAAAAAAAAAAAAAAAATCTACAGGCTTCCATGAAAAATGTCCAAGATAAGTTAAGGCATACTCATTCATCTCCCCAACCCACACAGGACAAATTCATCATGTCATGCCACCAGGTGGAGCACAACTCCTCACCAAAATGCAGAAAGTCCAGACTCACCTAGATCTCCTGGGAAAACAGTACAGTGCAATGAAAAGAGGATGGGACTTCAAAGCCCAAGACTCAAGTCACAGCTCTGACATTCACTGATTACATGACATTGTACAACTCCTTTGGTCTCTCTGGGCTGGGTCTCCTCCATGGTATCTGCCAACCTACCTGAACTCTTTAAATGCTCTCCCATTTGCTCTACAGAACTTAACATTTCTCCAACAAAACAATCTTGTTCCCATCTCAGAGCCTCTGCACCTACTGTTGCCCCTGCTGGGAACACTTTCTTCCAAATCTGCACATGGTTGGTTCCTTTTTTGTCATTTAGGCTTCAGCTTAAATATCACTATCTCAGAGGAATTCCCTGACCATCCTATCCCATTGGCTTCCCACACTGCACACCCTCTCTGTCTTCTGTATACTCTGTCCCATTAATATGTTTTACTTTCTTCATAGCACTTACCACTGCTAGAAATTCTTTGTGTCCTCCAACCGAAACATAAACTCCAGTAGAGAGTTTAATAGGGACACAAGAATTGCATGTTGCACTGAATGAGTAAAGGGATGATGCCTACTTCACAACTGCAGTAATATTTAAACAATACGATATAGTAAATGGTAAAATGCCACTACGTTGTTACCAGAGTCATTATCATTTGCTGTCTTTAGTGATTTCTATCTTCACCTTTTTCCATAATTTCAGTTTAAAAGCCAGACTTGCTGACATGTGGTAAAAAGTAGTTCATGTTAGATGAGAAATTAAGTACATGAGAAGAGCCATGCAGGACTGAGACCAGCCCTAAGAACCAGACCCACCAAATCAAAAGCAAAACGCCTCTCACCAACCCCCTTGTGATAAAAGACGGACCACTGTTGGTTCGTTTACGTTTTGGTCTCACTAAGGGTCACATGCTGGGGCCACGGTGAAGGTGTTATACAGAGCAGCTGAAATGAGGACAAGATGCCTCTGAAGTCACAAAAGAAACACTGAGTTTCTGCTGCTGACAAGTCCAACCCTCCAAGAGAAACCGCGAGTGCTATGTTTAACAAATATCAGCTCCACCGGAGCTGAACTCAAGGGAGACCTGGACACCGGCGTCACTCGACAGTTCCTTCTGTTCCCGCCTGCCCCCCCCCTCCCCCTCCTTTATCTCAAGCCCTCAGACAACCCCAGCCCCTCCTCACTCACCCCTTTGCACAGCCTGGCTCAGAGAAGCAGCAAAGGGGGTGCCCTCAACTACCCCCCTCCGCTCCCCCATCTTCTCCAGCCCCCTCAACACCCATTTCCGGGCGCCCTGGGGTCCCTTCTCCCGCTGCCCGTCTCTCCTCGAGCTTGGCGCCTCCGTCCCCTGAGCGCTCGCTCCCGGTGACTCCCCCAGCCCAGGCGCCGGCCGCCTCCCCCGCGGGACACTAGCTTGGCGACCTCCTCCTCACCCCCGCCCCCCGCCCGTACCGGGATCAGTTCTTTCAGTGAGCGCCGCACCGGCACAATCTCCAGCTCGCCTTCCTCCACCTCCATGGGCTCCGGCTCGCCACGCTCCAAACTAGAGTCCGTCTCAGGCGACGGGAGGCCCAGGGCCGGCCCCGCTGGGGCCTCTGCTTTCACCGACACTCGCAGGCCCCGTACGGCCGCCATAGCCGCCCGCCGGCCGCACCACTGAGAGCCCGCCTCGCACACCCGCCGGCTAGAGCGCCGCCGCCACTGGCTATAGAGCAGCCGCCGCTGCTCCCTAGAGTGTCACCTGCTTCGGCTGGAAGGCCCCCCCACTCAGCGCTGCCGCCCCCTGGTGGCAGGAGAAACCCAGGACAGATGGAGCGGGACCTGGTGAAGAGAAGGCGGGCTCGAGTGAAGACGTGGGCGGGGCCTGCTGGAGGGGGCGGGGCCTGAAGGAGATTGGTGTAGTCCGCTCTGAGAGAATAGCTATGCCTTGAGCAGTAAACCTGTTAGAAAAGGCAATTTTACTGAGAGAGCATTACATGTCAGTGTTCCAAGTGCTTGAAATCATACAACTCTATTGAATAGGTGTTATTATTACCCTTTCACATATGAGGAAACTGAGGCATAGAAATTTACCCAAGGGTTTATTTAAGGAATAAAACCTGAACCTGAGCCTACCAAGTCTGGCTCCAGAGCCCAGAGAAAGCCTTGGTCTATCACTTCTGGGCAATATGTAGGTTTACAACATACTTATCTTGAGAACCTTTGTCTCTTTCAAGTCTCCCAATAATTGGCCCATTTTACATGCATAAAAATTGAGACTCCAAGAGGGTAATGAACTGCCCAAAGCCCAGAGCTTGACCCCCAATTTCTTGACTCCCCAAGGCTCAGTCCACTGTAAATTCCTGAGCATGGTTTCTTGCAACATTTCTAACAGCCTGGTCGGGAGACAGGGAGAGTCCTCTAGGCTTCCAGAGGGCACCACTGGTCAGTTTTTGCTTTGAGTCCTGATTTTTCACCTTTCTCCCTGTGTTACCTTGGTCTAGTTCTGGCCCCTAACTGGGCCCTATCTTCCCATCTGAAGAGGGCGTAGGTGGATTCCTACGGTCTCCCAGGCCCTACCAGCTCTGACGGTGGAGGAACAAATAATTATAAACCAAGGGAGAATATGATCAGCATCAGACACACCTGGGTTCCAAACCGACTGGCTCTGCCCCTTGCACCATGTGTGACTTTGGCCAAGCCACTTAACCCTTCAAAAATCTTCAGTAAAATGGGACAATATTTCTTACCTCCCCTCAAAGGAGATTGTGAGGGTTACATGATGTATGTAGATGCAGGACCCAACGGAAGGGGTACAACATATCAAAGTTTTTCTTAAATGTGGGCTGTATCGCAGCACGAACACAAGATGGGGCTCTTTAGAGGGCTAGTTTTGCTTGGCGACAATAGTTACAACACTGGATTGAATGCATGGAATGCATATGCATGCATTTTTAAGAACATTTCAAAGACATTTTTTGCTTGGAGTGGCCAGCTTTGGGTGACAGTTACAGACCCCACCGTTACACTTATTTTTAGGCCTGAAGGGGAGAGGGATGGGGAGAGGAGGAAGCAATCCTTCCTCAACTTTGGCCTCAGGAGGCCAGCACATAGAGCTGGGTAGGCCCTCTCCCTTCAGCATAGGAGTCTTCTTGCTTGAGGATCCAGGCATTGCAGTTCAGCACAGTTCAGAGGAAAACCAGTCCCCTGGCGGAGCTCTAGCTGGCAGGAGAATTAGTAATCCAGAGCAAGCCAGGGCATCAGGCAAACATCAAGGTTCCTAGACTCCTACCAGGAAAGCCCTTTGTGCCTATCCTTTTTGGGTTCACATAATTTATCCCCACCTCACCACCTTCACTTCTGTCCTCAGTGTTAGCCTGCTGTGGTGGAGCCACAGAATTAGGAGGGGTAAAGAATAATTTTCAAAAAAGTCAAAAAACATGACTTACGTATAAAATGAACACATGTCAAAGTTTTTATTCACTGGTTAATGAATGAGGACATCAATAAGATATTAAGACTTGTTCAAAAGAGAATTTGAGAATGAATACAGATTTGGTCAAAGGAATACTGAAATGAACTTAACAAGACAGGTTAATGCCCCACAAGGCAAGAAAGTGCAACCTTTGGGGTTCCATTTTCTACCAGGCAGAAAATATCTACATTGCTATTGGACAAGAATTATTTACTCATTATAAGTCTCCTAAAAATTAGTCTCTACACTTACAGAGTTGTAAAATACCCTAATCAATAATAAGTCAGAAGTCAAGCAAAGATACACATCCCTAGAAAATCAGGTGATCGCCAGCTGAACTGGCAGGTTGGACAACACCTGACACTACACTGAGAGGACATCAGTGTAGTTCTTTTTCCTATTCCTTTTTCCTATGTCCAAGTCTGGATGATTTTTTTATTAACAGAGGAAACCAGGGAAGTGGGACATTGGGACAGACAGGATAGGGAGTTCCACGAAGGAAATGATCAACTGGCAAATGTGGTGGAACTTGGCTTGGGTCTAGAGGTTTGTTGACTGTTGGTGACCTTGAGGAGACCAATGTCCATGAAGGGGAAGGTACATTAATGGTGCAATGTGAGAAGTTATGGATGACTCTTTTGAAAAGTTTGTGAAGATGGAGGCTAGGAGACAAGGGAGGATATTAACAGGGTGTTCTATAGAATTCACTTTCTTTTTTTTCTTTGACTGAAGTTGGCCACACCCTTTCCTTTCTTTCTCTCCCATTCAGGGATGAGGGGAATAAAAATAATAGAAGCATACCTCTCCTAGGGTAACAAAAGGAAAAGCCATTAAAAGGCAATATAAGCTTCTAAGGTGAAATCAAATGCTACCCGAGAACTGGTAACATGGCCCACTGACCTGATGTGATGCCTATTCAGAGATGTTCTTTAATGCTGTTTTAAATTGGGCAAACATAACCTCATGCTCCACACCCCCAAGTTCATGTCTATCCTTGGAACATGTACAGGTTGTTAGTTAAGGAAAAATTTCCACGGTTAAAAGAAAGGTTATGAGGCAGCTGGCCCTGGTGAGGGGGTTGTATCCATGTCCCCCAACCTGCTACACAGCTGAATTCTTGAAAGGACTATCATCCCTCATTTTCTCCATCTGACTTGACCATTCAGCCTCATGGACACTGATGGCAACTCCCTAGTTCTTGAAACTGCACACACTCTTCCATTATAAAGCCACACTTGGTTTTTCTTTTTCACCTTCCCTGCCCCTCCTGCTCCAATGCCTTTTTGGGTTCTTCCTCTTTATCCAGTCCTCCATGGGTCAATTCTAGACCCTCTTTCTTCTCACCCCACGCTCACACTCTAGGCCATCTTATCACATCCATGGCTTCCAATTCCACTGCCAACCATACTCCAAGGACACCCACATCTCCATCTCTGGTTCTCCCCTCTCCTCCAAGCTCCAGATCCACATGTCTAACTACCTACCGCACATCTTCCCTTGAATATCTCAAGGCACCTCTGCTTCCTACGTCTCCCTCATGTCCGTCTGCTTCTTTGCATCCTGTTGGCTACTGCTCCTCAGCTTATTTCCATCCCAGCTATCATTGTATCCTATCTTGTCTGGACACTGCAGTGGCCTTCCCCCCTCCCCCCCGCCCCCCGATTTCTCTGTTTTTCTGATTTCTTCACCCTTATGCCTCCTCTACACTATAGCCAGACTGATCCTTTCAATACACATTATCCAGGTCTGCCTCCCCTCCAGCTTCACTTTGCACTGTTCTCCTCACTCCCAACATCTCCGCTTCAGTTGGTAAGCACCATGCTCCCTCTTACCACAGGATTCTTGCACAACCGGATCTCTGTTTGGAGCTTTCTTTCCTCCCCCTTGGCCTAGTTAGTTCTTCCTCAACTTCAGATCTCAGCTGGAACCTCCTTTTCTCTGGGAAACCTCCCTAACTACTCTTAGAAAGCCACCACAACAAGCCTTTCCTATACAGCACTCATGTCAGTTCAAAATCATCCACACACATGCGTGGCAACTTGATTAATGTCTGTTGCCTGCAATAGACTGTGAGAGCCATGAGGGCAGGAATAGTGTTGATTTAGCTGAGTGTCTAAGTCAGTGTCTAGTCATAGAAGGCCCTGGACATATACTGAAACGATGGATGGATTGATGGATGGATGGATGGATGGATGGATGGATGGATGGGTGAATGGATGGACATACCTAAAGAAAGTGAGACTTTTGTCCACATTATATTTAGAAGCATGGAGCAACAGATCTACTACCCATCTTTACCAAATTCTAGACCAGGGCTATCCATGTCAACCATCACTGTTTGTTAAAATCACCTAGGTAAGGATACATACTTGCAACTGGTAGATAAATAAGTTTTGGAGATGTAATACATGGTACAGTGATTATAGAAAACAAAACTATTATAAAGATTAAACTTTCTAAGAGACTAGATCTTAACTGTTTCCACCACTAGAAGAAATGATAAGTATGTGAAGAGACAGAGGTGTCAGCTAATGCTACAATGGCAGTCATATTGTAGTACAAATGTATCAAATCAATATGTTGTACACCTTAAACATACTATATTAAATGGCAATTACATCTCAATTAAAACTGATGAAGAAACTTAAAAATCAACTGAAAAGATTGGAAGCTAGGAAGCTGAAAAGATTACATACTGTATGATTCCAACTCTCTGACATTCTGGAAAAAGCAAAAGTATGGATACAGTAAAAAGACAGTGGTTGCCAGGGGTTGGGGATTTGTAAGGGGTGAGGGTGGGGGGAGGGAGGGATAGACAGGTGGAACATGGGGGATTCTTAGGGCAGTGAAACTATTCTGGACCAAACTGTAAGGATGGAGACATGATATTATACATTTGTCAAAACTCATACAATGTACAACACAGAGTAAACTCTCAACTGTGGTCTTTAGTTAATGACGATGTGTCCGTACTGCCTCACCATTTGTGACAAATGTACCACACTAAAGCAAGATGTTACTAACAGGGGAAACTGGGAGGCCAGAGAGGAAGTTGAGAGGGTATAACAGGGGACTCTCTTTGTACTTTTCCTTTCAAAGTTTCTGTAAGCCTAAAACGTTCCAAAAAATACAGTCTATTAATTAAAAAAAAAAAAAAAAAAA